TCATATCAGAAATTTACAACCATCCACTGCTCAATATGAGTTAAGCAGAATACCTTTTGATGGTCAGGGCTTGACCTACTCACTCATTTTATCCTACCAGATGTACATAATATACATTCAGCATAATGTCAAATAATGCAGCTGTTGAGGTCAAAATTGTTTACATGTTCACTTTCAGTTTAGAGATAATGAAATTTGAATTTTATGTATTATTCCAGTCTGCTGTCTTTGCCAGTTAATAAAGTCGATAAATACCTGAATTGTTATGAATGTATATTTATCGTAAAACCAGGTTTTAATAAAGTTATAAGATATTAATCCAAAGATGTATTATATAGACTGTGTTAGTTCCCTTTAGACATATTCCTTTAAATTGAAACAAAGAACATAATCATTCTGATCTTTCAACAACAGGTTGGAAACAAAATTAAAAATTGCTGTCATGGCACATCATAAATCAGTGCCTATTTTTGGATTGGTATGAAAATAATCATCACCACAAAATATAAGTTAATAATTGCTTTTGTCAGGATATATTCCGAAAACAAATCTCTCTTGAGAATGACACCGTTGATGATCAACCTATTGAAGATATTTCAGTACAAGCTACCAGCTTAATATCTTTAAACTCCAATTTGACTTTAACGTCACTTTTCGATATAAATCATTCTATATTTGGATCTTGTTTGTGTCATAGAATTTATTTTGAGATGAATCAATTTTAAATTTTGCAAATATCAGGATTCTGATAGAGAATAATTCAGTCATTTCCCTTTGTACCAACTGTTTCACATGTGCTCAAAATTTTGTGTGAAAATTTTCTAGGTTATTTGTATTGTACTATAGAAATATTCTGTGGAACCAGCAGGGATATTTGGTTCTATTGTTCAAGGGATTTTTTTCTTCATTCACCTAAAATGTTGTTCAAAAGTGAAATATTGTTGAGCAATCATTTTGACACTTGGATCAAAAGTAAAAGTATTTTTCCATGGGCATTAATAAAGAAATATACTTCAAAGGTTGGTGGTATATATTTGAATGTTATTATTTTTTTGTGAAATGTTGTAGTTAATTTGTATGTAAACTGTTTTCTAAAGTGCCTTAAAGACGCATTAACTTATCAAAACTTCAAACACTGATAACTTCTCTCAGAATATATTTTCATTTTCATTATCTATTTTTGAACTATTATGGAATGAATGACTGTCTCTTTATCTAATTCTTAAATAATGCATCTTTAAGGAGTGGAATTTATCTGAGGGGCAGTCATTTCATCGTACATTTTAATAAGAACATTTGTCTCTGACTACATTATTGAAAGATCCTTCAAAATTTTCTTTGTAGATAAAATGCCCAAATTTAATTCTTTTACTTTTTTGAACACATTTTTCATGAGGTTCTTTAAATAGGATGCCGTAACTGAAATTGTAAAAGTTTTTATTCTCCATTTGGAATGAGGTGCTTTTTTTCGTTCTTCAGTAGCAATTATAAATAAATCACAAAATTAAAAAAACTGTTTTCTCTGTGAGTAGTCTTCCAGCATTGACATTTGGAAAATCCAATCTTGGATGACATTAATTTCAAACACTGGATTTCCTTCCAGATTTAGAGAGTTTCAAAAAAAATTATTAACGACTTTATTAACATTAGATCTTTAATGAGCAGTGTGTTGAGGTTTATTCCAGAAACTTTCAAACTATTTTAGAATTCTATTTTGTAAACTATTAAAAAAAAGACACCCACATTGATGAATAATCCAATTTTATAAGTTGTTTATTTATTTGGGTGATTTATTTTGATGGAAAGATAAGGCTAGTGGTTGACTGTGCTGTTATTCAAGAAGATATATTTAATGCTAACAGTTGCGATGTTACCTCACCTGTTGAGTTGATTAGCTCACTAATACCCACCTCAAGGGCATCACTAATAGAAAAACAAGCACACAAAACATAGCTGTTAAAATTCCATCTTCTGTGACTCACAGATCATTCTAGTTGTCGGCAGCAACTGGAGCACATTAAATTTTGTCTTCCAACCCACACATTATGTTATCAATATTATAAGTTTGCATATTACCTTCACCTTAAGGCTGAATGTGTAACCTAATGCAATAAGTGGTAAAATAATTATATATGATGATGTTCCATCTTATGCAAGAGTAAGATATTTTAAACCTAATATACTGACAATGGAAATCTCCCTCCAACATCAAAATCAAAATTGTTTTTACATTTTTTAATTATCATTACAAAACAAAATGTATTTCATGTAATTTTTAAAGGTGAAAGATCATTATTATCATAAAGAATTGTCCATCTTTATTAGCCAGGTTGGTTGTGAAAAATAATATGTTAAACACCATTTCTTTCATTTAAGTGATCTTAATAAGAGTAAAATAATAAATGTGAATGTAGTCTTGTGGTTCCATGTCTTAAAATTAATTTTCATATAGAATTAATGATTTAGTAAACTTATTAGAATAAGATTATAAGATTAAATTTACAGAAGTAGAACTTTATCTGTTTAACCCAATGATATTTTAGTTGATATCACCATCAACATTATTGGAAAGGTTATAATTACATATATTACATATTGACCATCAGGATGGTATTTAACATGTTCGTGGTGGTTATCTCTTGAAAATATCCAAAACTGTTTACAGAGAGGAAGAGAATTAGTCAGGTTCAAAGCCTTCCAACAATACTCAAGAGCATTGATCTTTTACCTTTAAATAGGTTTAACATACTGTTTCCATATTAGACAAAGCAAAGTGGGTTATTCGACTGGTTTGAGAGTACCTATAACTCTTTCATAACAACTGGACTATACCTTTGGCATTTATTCTTGTGGAAAAACATTGACCTTTTAACAAAATACAATTTTAATGCCATCTTCAGATACTCATTGACGATATTTTTAAGTTTCTTGTGTATATGATAAAAACATTAAACATACATTATGCAAGAGCTAAATCTGTCTATTGAAGGTTTTTCTTTAGGCCTGAAATGTTATCTAAATTATTAATTAGACATTAATTAACCTATCCAGGCCATAATCAACTCTAGATGGCAGCGCTAGCCTGCGATCTTTAGTGGATTGCGAGCCAATTTACTGCATAACTTTCCTTCCCGATTTAACGATTAAATGGATAATCGAGACTATGCTGTTTATGTACCGACTTTAGTAATGATGACCGAGGCTAGGGGGAAATTTCAGTCGCTTAGTTCTCAGTTCATAGTGGATTAATTTGAATGAAATTTTCAGCAAATTACCTTTACATTATCTAGTTTTTAACTATTATAGTGAGAACTGCCAACTCGTTACCGAATCTCCCATAATGTATCTTTAGAAGAAAAGTTTTGTTTTTGTACAAATGGGTGATTCACAATTTCAAAAATACATCCAAACTTAATTACAATTATTTGTTATTTTATTGGAATTTATTGATTTCTGTTTTGATTAAAAATAATGTGATATTATGATACGATTTTATTTATAGCGATAATTTCTATTTATGGTGATCCCTTCTGTATTCCATTAACACTTCTGTTCAGAAAGAAAACTTAATCTACATAATTCTTATCCCTAAAGTAAATTGTGTTTTTAACAGGTTTTGCTAAGCATTCATTGCGGTTTAAATCATGTCGGATTATTTTTATAGCAGTTTTAATGTTGACAACTGAAAATCATAAATAGAACTTGATCCTGTTATGAACCCACATACTTCTGTTTATAGAATAAAATATTATTTTTAAGACTTAAAGAGGCATTATTAAAGAGCTAAATCTGCCTATTGCAGGTCTTTCTTTATGCCTTCAATGTTATATAAAATATTAATTAGACATTGATTAACTTGCCAAGACCATAATCAACTCTCGATGCCATCGGAAACTCTAGATTTTAAACAGAGTTTATTGCGCGACACATGGCCAAACAAGCTGGAGCCGGCGATTTAAACCAATTTTTATAGAGGGCCAAGAAAAACCTTCTCAATGACGGGTAGAGAGTTAGGTTTTATTTGCCCCACCTTTGCGTTTTAAACCAGTTTAACTTGTGCATATAGATTATCACCATCTTTCACCAAGTCCTGGTCTTAGTTCTGGTACTATAATATCTGAAGCTAACAAATATCTGGTATTATAGGATGTTATTCTGTAAGGTCAATTAGTGTAAATCTTGTAGATATATTAATTATATTCTGATGGCAGCACTAAATTCTTCTGGCTGCTATAAATTATCAGTTGCACAACAGTCTAGACCAACAACAGGGAAGACATTGCATTAGTGATCAGTTCTGCTGATATCCATACTTACATAAAAACTTTAACAGAATATAGACATTAAAAAATTGTTGTGGATCAAAACGCTACCTCCCTCCCTGGGGTTAGAGAAAAGAAGTTGTTAATTAAGGAACAGATCATCTGGCTTATTCGTTTGATTTGAATGAAAAGTTGGAGATTAATAAAGTTGTTATATATCTTAAATATCTGCTGTTATTTTGGCTAGACTTTAGGATCAGTCCACCAATGAGATTGTCACATACAGTATCATGTTGGGTAAGGTGTAGTCAAGGCTGGAAATAAGACACTTGTCACCAATAATATCAGGCACAAATTCAGGCTTTGTCAGGCATATTTCTTCTGGTGTCTATGCTTTTCTCTTTGACAAAGATGTGTCGTCCATCTGTGTTTTCGTTAATATTTTTAATATGTATCCAGCACAAAGTTAAAAATGTCCTGTAAACTTTCTTAATCTCCAATATTTTGTCATATGCAATCAAAATTGTTTCTTTCAAGGTCTGGATATATTAGAAAAAATTTTCAGCCTTATTCTGTAATCACTCAGTTATTTTCTGCTTTGGCATTCTCTCCTACACACTTATACCTCTTTGTTATTGCTGTTTTATCATTCAATTTACTACCTAGCACTATCATGTGTTTACATGTAATCTATCAATAAACTAACACTGAGGGTGGATTTCTTCTTTGTAATTTCAGGCTGGTGATCTTTTAAGAAGAAAAATACAACAAAGACCAGATAGACAATCATTAGTACAGCAACATATTTTAGAAGGTAAATTTTAAGAAAAATAAAAACGTTGCAGAAATTTGATATACAAAGGCAATTTCAGCTAAAATATATCCACATTAAAGCATATTTCCATTGGTAGTAACACATGGAATATCTATATAAATGTACTTAAATCTGTTTACAAGTTTAAAAATTTGACAACAGTGTTATTTTCTAGTGTTGTTTTTTTTTTTAAATGTGCAAAATAATTAAATTATTTTTGCTAAATGGTAAATGTTAATGGCTTTGAAATATTTTTAAAAATATTTAAAAGTTAATAATAAGACTAATACTTTACAGATATATAAACTTGTAAAATATCAGTGATCATAAGTTAGCCTGATGCTTCTGCTTTCTAACTTAATCATCTATGAATATTAAAAAAATTACTGTTGGCAGACATAAAGAGGTTTAGTAGACATTATCACAGTATCACACTGTTTTTATTGTAAAGTTAATTGAAACACATAATTGTCTCTTTTTTATTCTCTTTCTTAACATTTTAATAAACAAAATACTACTTTATCACAAAATGATATTTTGCACTTTATTTATGGAATTCGAAAAAACAATTAATACCTGTTAGGCACTTAATATTAGCACCAATAAGTCCTTTATGACCTGGACAGAAGTGGTTAATTATTCAAAGAGCAATGTCTGCATGATAAACAGAGTTTTATATGACATTTATTTGGCAATGGGCATAAAATGCAATTAGATAATGAAAGAATTAAAAACCGAGATGAAATCGAGTTTAACGTCCTTCTTTTCTGCTCAGCCTGTGCTAATGACGGGCGCATGCCATGCAGTGTGATATACGGCCTACTCTTTATTTTGAATTCCACTGTCAAGGATTTTGTATTTGTTTGAAACTTTGCACACTTATTCCTTATACCCTAAGGATCCCCCCTATTGTTTGTGGTGCATGCCCAACCCCCAGGGGCAGAGCCATGCCCATTCTCTCTTTGTGTATCTGTGTGTTGCCTACAGACTGCAATTCTTAAAGGATCGTCTCGAAAACTTTTCATACTTATTCCTTATACCCTAAGGATGATTGCTATTATTTGGTGCATGCCCGACCCCCTGGGACAGAACCATGTCCAATTTTTGTGTCTGTGAGTTGCCTACATGCCAGACATTTTGACATACCTATTCTTTGTACCCTAAGGATGATCCCTATTGTTTTTGGTGAATGCCCGACCCCCCAGGGGCAGAGCCACATCCATTTATTCTTTGTGTGTCTGTGTGTTACCTACAGACCCCAATTCTTAATGGATCGTCTTGGAACTTGGTATATGTATTACTTATAGCCTAAGGATGGCAACTATCGATTTTGCTGCATGTCCCAACCCCCAGGTGCAGAGCCATGTCCAAGTATTGTGTTAGTCATCTATAGGCTGCAATTCTGAATGGATCATCTTGGAACTTTGCATGTTTATTCCTTATACAGTAAATACAGCAATTATTTATTTTGGTGCATGCCCAGACCCCCTGGAATGTGGATGTATATTGCAGCGGTACCGATGCTCTTGTTTAATCATGTTATTATCGTGTATTTCAGATACCACAATAGCACCATCACTACAAGAACGCCAGAGACTTTTGAAGAAATCAAAACTTAGTGATGAGTTGAATGAAAAGATAGCCCATCGACCTGGGCCACTGGATTTAATAAAAGGAAATATTCTGCAGACGGATAAAATGATAGTTGATGCCATAAAAGGTAATGGCCCAGAGACAAATGATGTGTGTTATGGTTAGTTGAAATTTTATCCTTCACTATTCATCACTTTTTAATAAATCTGTTTGATTGAAAGATATATTTCTTTGGCAGTCAAGATTCTAAGTACACATACTTCAACTCTTCAAGCGAAATTCAACCTTGTACATAATAAGGCAGTCAGTGAATAAGAGCTATGCGACGATAGCAGCTACTAAAATAGTTGTGGACATTCTGTAATAATTCACGTAATATATAGTGGGCTTACTATGCACTGCTGTGTGTCTTGTGGATTAGAAGAAGAAAATACCTAAAGATTTGATCTTGCATTTAAAAGATGCTTTGGTCATTGGAATTTGAGAAATGTATAAGAATATGTAACGATCGTGATATTTTAGTCTCAAAATCTTTCAAGTTTAAGGTTCTACAAAGAATATACTTTTAAATTTTTTTATTTTTTTTTCTGTAGATGGATCAATAAATGGATCTATTGGTTTTGATGATGTTGAGGGTTCTGATGAAGATGACCAGTCACGTCATTTTAACTTTGATAATGATACTAGTGGTGCTCCGTCACCACAAGATGACTCCAGTATGTCAGAAATGGGAAGTCCACTTTCTGTTACCTTACCACCTATTTTGGGGATGCCTTCATTTCTCCAACAAACAAGTCCAGTAGCGATGCCTCAAGTGTGTAAAAGTCCACAACTTGGTTCACCGCCAATCATCCCACAAACAAGCAATGTTTTGACAAAATCAAATAGTGGCAGTTCCAACAACAACAATAACAACAATAAATCACGACCAAAGAAGTCCAAGCCAAAAACGATGCCAAAGGCAAAAATAATTAAATTCCATGAATACAAGGGTCCACCTAACATTGTCAAAACACAAAATACATCAGATAAAGATTCAGAGACACCATATCACGTAATGCTTCAACAACAACAGTTATTTTTACAATGGCAACTGGAGTTTCAGCAGAAAAATAACTATCTGATTGCTCCTAATGAGCCAGAAGATACTCTGATACCAATAGCACCACAACCTGCTCCAGGAACAAGTGTGGTGGTAGCTTCATCCACATCACCTCTACCAGTCACAGCACAAGCTGTACAAGCTCCAACAGTTGTACAAACATCTACCCCAACATCCATAACAACATCAGTTCCTCAGCAAATAATACAAACAGTTCAGCAGAGATGTGTTACCCCACAGATACCTGTACCTACCATGATGCCTAGTAAATCACCATCACCACAACCAGTTCAACACCCACCACCACCACCAACTCCCCCAGTAGCAATCAAAACTCCCAAAATATATGGGAATCTGGAGGATTTAAAAGTTGCTGATCTGAAAGTGGAACTGAAGAAGAGAAATCTGCCAGTATCTGGTTCTAAACCTCAACTTATTCAAAGATTGAGTCCGTATCATGAAACAGGAGCTAAATCTCCAGCCCATACAGTTATTACTACAGTACCATCTCCAGCATCTAGTATTGGTTCTGTGGAACCTATAGGTTCTCCACCTGTGGCTAAGATTGCACCGATTGCAAAGATAATCAGTGTTCCTCCCCCAAGGGTGAAAGAAGAACCAATGTCAAGGAATAATACACCCCCAACTTCTCCAATATTGATGGACAGTAATCCTCTATCACCTGACATGATGGAGGTCACCTTGCCAACAAGCATCTCTCTGCCAACTCAAGCTAAACTTCAGATCAGTCCAAACCCCACTCCAGTACCTACAGCTCCACAAACAACTGCTATCACAATGACTAATGAAAGCATTGTGCCAACATCAGTCGTAAAATCAGAAGCAATTCCCATGGATATTGATCAAGCTCCAACCCTGGAATCAAATAGCTTGAACACAGCATTGATTAATCAACAACTTCAGCTACAGATGCAACAATTTAAGCAACTGATACAACAAACTCAACAGCAACCCCAGCTTAGTCAGGAGGATTTGGTCAGACAACAACAGTCACAGATAGAGGAATTGCAGAGACAACTTCAGGAATCTCAGATGAAGTTGAAACTTCAGGCACTGCAACAGCAACAACTTCAGTTACAACAACAGAATCAAATGTTACAACAGAGTAATATCATGCAACAGCAGCCCAACACCTCACAATCTACTCTGATCAACAACCAGTCTAATATGATCACTTCTCAACCTCCATTAGTAAATGCAATACAGATTAATCTGAGACCAGAAGCTAAAATGTCCCAGATTCAAAATCAGCAGCCCAAGCAGATTCAGATTCCTGCAAGTTTGTTACAACAGACATCAGTCCAGAATAATAATCAAGGTGTCCCTGCTGTTATTGTAACAAGTAATGACGAAGTTGTTAAACAGAATAAATCAAATCTAGCTGAATATCTGAAACTACAGACTTTACAAAACGTGAATAAGCAGGATATATCTATAGCAGCCCCGGTTAATAATCAACCGTACATATTTACTACTGCCAATACCAACTCCAAATCTGTTCCAAATCAACTACCAATCAATGGTATTCACAGGTTAGTACAATCAAGACTCATTAGTGTAGTATTATCTTATTTTCTTGAAAATTTTACATGTTATAAAATTTTAGTGCCACTAAACATTAGATTCTATCTCATTGTATTTCTTGAAGGAGACAATTTATATATTCTGTTGTTTTGGGTTTTTTCAGAACCACTTCATTACCAGCAACAGTAATGGAAGGTCAGAAGGTAATAGAGAGAACTCAGTCGAATCCTTACTTCTCAGTGCACCTGAAGGAACCACCAAAGTATGATGAAGCTATCCGTAGTAAACAACAAGCTCAACATGTGAAAGATGAGGTAAGTAAGAAAAGATGCTTGAATAACTATATTTTTCAGAAATATTTTTATTTATTTATTGTTAAGGTATATTTTATAACGAGCAACATTGTCAAGCAAATGCAGTGTCATTGATAATGCAAAGAGTAGAAACCACTGTTATCCTTTTTCTATCCAGGTTTAGCATTATTTTCGTCAGGTTGTTTTTTTTTACAAGATATTTTGTTTTAATCCATTTTAGTCACTCCCAATTGTTCAGCCAAGTAGTCCACAATTATCACTAGCAAATCTTAGTAAGAGTCAGGCTATGGATGATGTATTAGAAATCCTGATACGACATGGAGGTGAGTTAATACAATATTTTAGTAAAACACTTTGTAATATGCTGAAAAAAATAACAAATGTCTCAATTTCTTAGACAATTATGGCCGGTTACTGACAAAGAAACCAGTAGATTCTTCATTGTTTCACGCCTATTTAAAATTGTTTTGTATTTTCAGATCTTCCTCCAAATGCTGCTGAAGAAGCCTTACCAACTCCAAAAACTACACAAGCTCAGCCTATTCCTTCTGTTAGTCCAGTTGCTATCTCAAGTTCAACATCTGCTCCTTTAAGTCTAGAATCTATATTATCTTCTAGTGGTATTAACCTGTCGACACATACAACGTTACCTATGTCTTCATCTTCAGTACATCTACCAAGCTCATCATCTACTATAACAACATCTTCATCTAATCCTCTTTTTTCCATTAATCCAACAACAGATACTAAACCTCTGCGAATGGATTCACCACCGCCACCCACTGTATCTATGCCTTTAACAGACACTGGAAATGAACTCTTAGATTTATCAGAAATGTTGGATGCTGGTATGGATTGGACAAACGAGTCGGCGTTCAGTGGTTTAGACTTTTTTGCAGCAAATGTAGTAGAACAACTGAACACCCCGAATGTGAACAAATCATTCTTGTATGTGCCACCTGCCAGTGAACAAAAAGCTGGTGGTAGTGTTCATGGTTCAGAGCCAGATCTTGCCTCCCTCGGCCTTGCCGATCCGGATGCAGCAAATAACATGCAAATAGACGTTTCCGAATGGTTAGATGTTATTATGCCCAGTACCGGTTTGACTCCTCTAACAACTAACGCACCTGTGTCTTTCTCATCCGACCCCATATTAACCCCCAAAACCCAACAAGAAGTGCTGGAATTATTCAATTTTGATGAAAGTGACTTTAATACCTCAATTGATCCATCATGTGGGTTAAATTGGGAGAAATTAACCGAACCTGGTACAAGTTAAAATTAGTTGTAGTAGAAAGGTGATGTATATGTAGAAACAAGGTATCCCTTCTGCGCTTACTGCTGTACCGTTGGTTAGCCTAGTGATATATGTGATTTATTTTTGGAGTGAACATTATAATGACATTATTATTATCATTAATGGACCAAGTGCCTATATTTGGAGACTGAAGTGCTGAAATCAGTTTAATAGAATTGTGATGTGTGAAGAAAAGACTCAGTGATGTTATCTATAATGAAAATCTGGATAAACAAGTCAAGAAAATGGAGAGCGAAACAATGTTCTTGATGTTTTTATTTTGATTATTAGATTATATTGACACAGTGAAAGTGACATTTAGTAATATAAAAACATATTATGTTGTTCCCTCCACTCCAATTTTATTCAGTTTTCTCAAAAAATTCTAACTGAAAAGCACAGTAAATACAAGAAATTTCAAAAGAGACAAACTGTTAAGATGTAACATGGAATATCAAAATGCAAAAAAAAAATGATATATTTTTTAATATTCATTTACAAACAATCTGACAATTTCTACAAGAAAAACACATTTCTCAACCTGTTTAAAAACTTAAAAAATAACAAAAAAGATGTGAGATTTCTAGTTTGCCAGTTTGATGTATGTGCTTCGTATAACTAATGTCCTGGTGTGTGTTCTCCTTTAACATTAGCTGGTTTGACTGCACTGTGTTTATACATATTATATATAATGGGTCCATCAATCGGATTGTTTTCAACTTTGAGGTATTGTGTACCTTAGATCAAATTCACTAGTTTCAGATCAGTTCATTAATAAAATCATTGATTTTCATAAAATTAACTCATCAAGTACTACATGTATGTACTCTACATGTCAATAGTATATTTGCCTCGGCCTAAAGCAATTTGATGCATTCCATAAAAAAAATGTGCAATGACTCTTCCCTTGCTTTGAACAAAGTCAAGATAATTTCAGTTCTTTTCACAAAGTGGTAATACCAGGGTCTACATGTTTGGGGACCATTCATTAATCCAAGGGATGTCTGCACAATGCATGTAATCTCAATTTAATAAATGGCAAAAATAAGAAATCATTTGCACACTCTAGTTAACACCATATAGTGTCTTTTTTATGTATAACACAGGCATAATCTTTCCAGCATACTTCATTAACATTTAAATTATTTGTCAATTTCTATCCATTCCTTGAATTATAATTTCCCTATTAATTTAAAAGAACACCAAAGCTATAGCTTACAAATTATGTGTTGGGGGATATAAGACAATTAGTTGGTATTACCATTTTGTACTTATCATTGTGTGATATCAAATAAATCTTTGTTACTAAATCATTGGAAGTTTAGATTCAGGTTGATTAGTTTCTTGTAAGCTTAGCACACTAAAGGCTGATTTCTTAACATGTTTAAATACATAATTAACTTATGTAATGTTAATGTTTTAGGGTCTTCAGATGAAAAATTGCATAAAAATGTAAGCTTAGCACTATATGCCGATTTCTTAAGATGCCTAAATACATAATTAACATGTATTAAATGTTAATATTTTTGTGTCTTCAGAAGAAAAATTGCATAGAAATTTTGTCCTAAATTTATATGATAGTATAAGAATTGATATCACATTATATTGTTATATATTGTCTATAGGTATTATAAAAGCCTAATCATAACATATTGAAGCATACCCAATCATTTTAATACAATGATCTTCCTGTAAATCCTCTGCTACTTATATAGCTTCTAATATTAGTGCTTTGGTTTTTGTAGTCGTGTTTTGTGTCATTCCTTCCTTCTGTGATAAAAGTTAAATAAACAATATGAACACTATTTAGTTTATGGTCAAATTGACTTCAAAATTTACCAGTGAACTAAATAATAATGGTAAAGAAATATCATGGGAGAAATTCCTGTATTGATAGTAGTTTATGGTATATCCACACTGTAGCAATGGGCGTCCTCGCTGAAGGAATTCCAACCAGGTGTCGCTAGTAAAAACTCAGTTCCACGTGACCTTATCGATGGTAAGAGAACCGTATTGGTATTAAATTCCATATTAACGACAAAAACTAACGTTTGTCAACACATGAGTTCGTAATAAATGTACAGGAAAACTGTGCTATAAGGTAAACAATGAGGTCACGTGGGATCGCCTCGCCAATAAATTATGTCCCTTTATCTCTATCGAGGACGCCCATTGATGTAAATTAAAGTTTAAAAAATCTTAAAATAAATAGAGATAGAAACTTGTAGATGAAAGTTATTAAGGCGAGTAAAGATTAAGGATTAATTTAAGTGAATTATAAGCCAATTTGTTATTTTATGGCTCAGCTAACATGTATTAAGATTAAGTACTCTTAAGCCTAGCCATAGCATATTGTATATTATATGTTTAGTAAATGGTAAAGAATACCCATTCAATCTTTGAAGATCTATATTATACATACATCATATATAAGTTAATAAGACCAACTGACTACCGGTACTAGTCTTTCTGATAATGTACATGTTTGTACACCATCTTTCTAAACTCGATGAAGTTACAAGATTGTCATATATGGTAGACATCTTGTTAACTGTGGTGATGTGGATAAAATAATAATTGGCGTTTGTGTGGACCAAAAAGAAATATTTATGTTTGTATAATAGTAATAGAGAAGAAGCAGCCATTTTCAGTCGTGAAATAATGTGTGATCATATCAAGTCTGCTGATTGTTGTATGTTTACTTAATATAACATAAGCTAAACAAATGCCATCATGGACTGTATGCAGGTTCTTGCATATTACTGTTATAATGGTGATTTGTGGCCTGTTGATGTAATTTTTTCTACTGAACTTTTTATTTATTATCAGGTGTGCAGTTATTTCATATGTTTGTTAAGATTATTATAATATATAATTTAATACAGAGAGTTTGAATTTTTTTTGTATATTGATTAATATATTTGCATGCTATTTATGTTCAGTGTGTGGTTAATATTGTCATTTGTTTTTATTTAACTTAAAATATTATCAGTGATTTTGTTTATTTTTGTTTCCATGACAACCAATGAGATCAAATAGTTCACCAGCATCATTTAAATAATATATGATTTACTGTATTCAAAGGATCAGCACACTTTAAAATATTCACAAAATTTGACTATCTTTGTTCTTGTCTCTTTGGCATTATAACTCTGTCAAATTTGTCAGTTGTAGCTAAGAAAAAACAGAACTGAAAAGTGGCCCCATTTTACATGTACTATGGGTGTTAATTTGAACAAATACAGTAGTTCATTTCTGTTTTAGTCGGCAGTTTCATTTAGTGAATCAGGTGCAACGATCTGCATAGAATATGGTATATGATTCATAATTATAATTTAAGGAAGTACAAGATAAAGACATTAATGTACAAGATAATATTTTGTTAAATCTGCAATCTGTTCAAATTACATGATTCTAATTAAGTTCTACCAGGTAAATCCACACCCTGGTTGTTAACCTTGCATCATGTTTTCATTATGAATCATACGTTAGTGCCATTTAAATAACATATCATTTCTTTTTCGCACACTATAACAAATAATATGTAACTTCAAGATGTTCATAGTTGGAATTTGTAGTGGGGTTAGAAAAATAAAAATTCAAAGAAAGCTTTTTGGGGAATATTGGGTGGCCCCCGTCCATTTATAGTATTACCATTTACTCTTTAATTTAATTGTCAGGAATTTGTTTTGTAGCACAAAACTCATATAAAATATGCAACTAATCTGTTCTGCTACTTTCATCACTCTGTGATCGCAAAATGCGAACAATAATGAAAGCCAGTAACAAATAAAAGTGAGGTATAAATTTTTAATTTAGGGGAATTAGATATGACCATTTATAATTTTCTTAGAATTCTAAAAATAAACATTAGTTTAGAATTAAAAACTATATAAATTTTATGATGCCAAGATGTTTTAAATATATATTATATATAGGTTTATCACATCTTTCTGTAATTTGTATAATCTGTTCTAGAAATTGTATTAAGTGAATATGTGAAAAATGAAGGTGGTTATCAGTTGTATATGTCTGGAAAAAGGAGAAAAAAGATATATATTGAATTAAATTTTTTGATATTTGTTATAAATATCTTTATAAATCTGATAAGTAGTAAAGGAAAGGATGTAATGTTGAATTATTGATGGTTAGAGGACCATGAGTTTACAACAAACTGTCAATAAATCAGGCTAAGAGAGAAAGGCGTCTATATTGTATATGTTGTATATATATATATTTGCACTTGTTAATAGTATACATGTACTAATAAATAATTTGCTGCTTGAAATAATTCTACTTATTTGTATTTATATCAGAATATGGGAGTTCAACTAATATATAAAAAAATTATAACATGCAAAATACAAGCATAATACACATTTATTATCTTACTAATCTTATTATTGCTATATTCACCTCTTTATCCTTGCCATCATGTTATCCGGCTTATAAGATTTTAAATCAATAATTACCCTTTTCATTTAAATATTCTATTTAAATATTCTGTATTTCAAATTTTAAAAAAAGAAACCAGCTGATTTTGACTAGATTTATTTTATTATAATATTTTGGATTTCAAATTTAAAATCGAAAACGCCACTTTCACTAGATTTATTTTGTGTCCACCCCTTCCAGCTAGATTAAGATGATATAATTTATAGAGTGTCTTTATTTAAGTAGTAGCCGACTAGAAACTATATTGTATATTTATTTTGTAATGTCTTAGGATAATATAATGTTAAAGAATTAATTTATTTATCTATCTGAATATAAGAATTCCTAATATACAGTGAGTACAGTGTATATGTAATTATATTGTTATGTTATATCAAAAGTGTCTTCCATTGTTCTCTACCAAGAGACACTATTAAATAGTTAAATAGTTAAAAAGTTACTGGTTTTATTTAGATGTAGCCTACATTTACAGATGACATTTAATGTGTACATAATATTTAGAGACCACTATACATGTAGAAGAATTAAAGATTGTAAGAAGGCTTATATACATACATTCTAACTAAGCTCCAGTTATCAAAAATAACATCTTTTAAATGACGGCAAATATAGGCTCAATGATCTAGGCATTACCAAATTTATTGATTATGTTAATGAAAATGTAAAGGTACTATACCACGAAAATTTAGTCCTATATACCAATATCAAACATTCCACACTAGATCTAACTTGATATGGTTTGAATCTCTGACAGAAATAGACTAGAACTGGACAGATTTGAAATGATAAATTTATTGCAATTGCTTTGGCTTAAGTTCTAATGTGTAAACAATAGTCTGCATTTCAATTATTTGTTCCCTTTTCATTATCTATGTTTACTCATCACTGATATGTCCATCTTATATGACCAGTCAGGAAAATATACATATATATAAATTAACTACATGCTATTTGAATCAACCTTCAAGGACTGCAGTTAAACAAATCTGTCCTGCAACTAAACTGAGGCACAATGAAGAACTGGATTTAATCAAATTTGATTGAAAATATATATATAAATATACACAGTATCTGTTAATGATATTAACATTTGAATTTCATGTATATCATATTCAAAATTAAATCTAGCACTTCTTATCATCTTAATGTGTATTTTAAAGTTTTTATGTAAAAGCTATGGTTGAAACCTGAACTCTATTTCTGATCATCATTCAAATATTATCAAAATATTTTCAAATATTTAAATACACTTAGGCAACACCTAATCAAATTGTTGTTTCCTTAAATGCTCTTTATATAAGAAATATTATATATTATATAAAATATTAAAGATAAATGTTGAGCAACTGTTTATATCTCATGACAAGTGTTAAGTCAGAAATATATCTAGATGAAAATGTTAGATAAATGGTCTTTTTATGCAAGGGAAGTTAATTAAAATATTTATATCTGTAAAATTATAAACTCTTAACTCAAGGTTTATTGCCAGTTGATTCAGATTTAAAAAGTCTAGCTGTATATAAAATTTTATGAATTATGCTCATATGCCAATCTTATTACTGCTCCTGTGCATTATGAATATTTGGTACCATTGTGGTGCTGTTGATAATCAACAAATCTCTTGTAAACTCAGTATTCATGTATGGTGTATTATTCTGTAGTAGAAATTGTATTACAAAAGCATTACATTATGCCTCCTTGTAATCAAAATAATTGTTATATTATGAAATTGTTATCTACCATTTACGTCACTAGATAATCATGTCACCCGTCACGTCACGGCTCATTAACATCATTGGCACATTGATAAATAGCTCATCCATTCAAGTTCAAAATCTTTCAATATTCAGCCAAATATTGTATGCAAGAAGTTACTTTCTCAGGAAATTGTCCTTCTTAGCTGCAAAGTGCATATTATAGTGCGGCCTTTAATCATGTTGGGTGTTTAGAGCTCATAGGCATATACTAAACTCTTTAATGGCTATGTTCATGAAGACAATGCTGGATATTAGAAGACTCATTAGCCTGTTTTGAATGATCTGTTTCAATATATGTGTGATTGTATATAGGTTTCATGAGACTTTTGCCCTGTATATGCATACAGTGATTCTGTCTAGATCTTTAACTGAAATAAACAAAAAAAATGCTTGAAACAAAAATGTGTTGATGTGTTTTATGTTATTTAATAAACAATTTGGGGGAGTACTATCAATATAAACATAGGGAATGCCATGACTTGTGAATTACTTGGGTTCTTTTAAGTTTTCATACTCCATTGCAATGTATGATCCAAAAGCACTCAAACCTCCTTCTTGTAAATACCTGGAACATGGTTCTTCAGAACTTAAATGTTATGTAGAGACTTCGTTTTTATGACATACATTGGAATGGTCCCCCCCCCCCCCTTGTCAGTGATGTAGTTCAGAGGGATTGTCAAGGAACAGTGCTAGTCATTTGTATGCGACAAAACTTAGGTACCTTATGACACATTGCATAGCATAAGGATTCTGCAATGCACAGTTTTAGCCTACAAACAAAGGTACCAAGAATTATTATACTTCAGACACAAATTGGGAAGGCACCTTATTTTTATGTTATGTCACTAGATCTATTTTGGGTGAAGAAAACATTGGGGTCTTCAAAGTAAAATTTCTTATGAATTACAGTGTAGATTGCTGCAAAACACAAAAACTTAGGTACCTTATGACACACTGCATAACGTATGGAATCTGCAATGCACAACTTTAGCCTCAACAAATTATTACTATATTTCAGACACAAATTGTGGAGGCACCTTATTTTTATGTTATGTCACTAGATCTATTTTGGGTGAAGAAAACATTGGGGACTTCAAAGTCAAATTTCTTATGAATTACGGTGTAGATTGCTGCATAACGACAAAAACTTAGGTACCTTATGACACACTGCATAACGTATGGAATCTGCAATGCACAACTTTAGCCTCAACAATTTATTACTATATTTCAGACACAAATTGTGGAGGCACCTTATTTTTGGGGACTTCAAAGTCAAATTTCTTATGAATTACGGTGTAGATTGCTGGAAAACTCATTCTTTAGCTAGGGATATGTCTTCAAGCCAAATATTTCATGAGCCTCACATAATCAATTATCAATAGCAAATGAGGTAAAAAAAACCTAGTATTACCAGCTTAAGCTAGAATTAATTTAGACACCAGATAGTACGCCATTTCAACCTCTAAATTACTTTGTTTTAATCTTGTCTGAAGGTCACTACCAAAGAATTTCGATTGTTGGTGAACTTGCAAAAATAGTTGTGGAATGAATTTTCCTGTTCTTCTTTAGCAAAGAGTAATTCAGAAGGTTGTAACTTGGTGAGATTAAAATTGTTAATGTATATAAATAGAGAATATTTTTTCACAAAAAAACCAACATGTAACCAACCTTACATATGAAATGATGTTTAATGGCAGTCCGCACCAACCAGGCTATTTTGCGCCAAACAAACAATATATGTAGAACAGGATATTTAACATCCTCTCAAAACAAACTAGGTCATTTCAGGACCTAGGGTATAATAATAATTCGCGCTAGCGCAGGAGTCTTAAATAGTGCGAGGAAACCCACAAGGTTTGGCAAACAACCCCTTACACCCACTACCCTCACAGATAATGCACGGTAATTCAAGGGTCCTAAATGAGTATGCAGATCCAACCTCGTGCTTGACACACGCAGAGCGTCTTCTACTTTTTCACTACTTGGTGTATCTAGGTCCACTTTGTTCGGTTGTCGGTGGGGAGTATGCAGCTTTCAAGTTTAGATTATATTTCAATATCTAATTTCTGATACATGTATTTTGAATTTGTGATCAGCACCATTATTTTGAATCATGTACATGTATATGGACAGAAGATTTTTGTGGTTGTATGGAACCCTGGCTATGTTGGTGGTTAGTTTCTTGTATACTTTGCCACACTTCACTCATCACTACCACACAAATAATGATATAAACACTAACACCAGTTTTTCATATATCGGCTGTTTTCGAGAATTATCAACCCTAAAAGATATATCTTACAAGACAAAAGCAGCAAAAATAGTGACATTGGTAAGATATAAATATTGGTTCATTTGGGCAGACGGCCAAATATGATACTAGCCAGAAATACCTATTGTCGAACAGACGATCATTTTTGTGATGCGTTAAGTAAAATATGACAAATACATCAGCTGAGACTTCAATCATTTACCACAAGGTAAGACTTGGTAGTTAACTACCTTTGACATCCAACAATAGATTACATACTTCTACCAAAGTACAAATTACTCAACCAAACTCATAACATAGATTTGGATATAATAGCTAGTCAATCTTGGTTATACGTCCAAGCCGACAGTGAATTCTCCAATTCTACCATATAGACAAAAACAATTATTGACCCAAAAATGAACAATTTCGAAGATTTAAAAAGAAATCAAAAAACATCATTGATAACTCCATCCTGTATCGGAATTTAAAACACCGACCAGGATAGTCTGGTGCTTAGCGGTCCGTCTCGAGAACTATATATATTTCACAAGAGGTATCAATGATAAATAATTGTGAAGTTAAGACTCTTTGTGATATAGGTCAGACCGAATGGACAACGGTGTTAAATGGAAACGTTTTCAATATTGCTTTCAGATCCCAGAACAATCAGAAAATGCGGTGCAAAAACTAAAATACATAATGACAAAGTCAATCAAACTGTTAGCTACATTAACTCACAACAAGACGATATCCATCTCTGGGAGCAAACCCACGTAGCATTTGATTTTAAATTGCCAATTTTTTGCCAAATTATCAGGATTCCTGTTATGCAGTATACAACTTAAAACAATTCGGACCTTTTATAGTTACATTACGTCAAATGGTGCATTGCAGAATGCAATAACACACTGTTAGCGTTTCGTATCTTTGATAATTGGATGCCCTTTTCCAAATTTCCAAATGTGTAGACCTACAGGATAGGCCCTACCACATTGACGTTGTTCAGATGTAATAGTCTGGTGTTGCTCTGGTTGTGGAAGATACTAATGGAAGTAATGTCGATTTTGAACAATGAATATACACATACACATATACATTTGATTTTTTCAATTTCCCATGGTCTACGTCTCCAAAGCTATCCGGTTTCCTCCTGACGCAGCAACTCGGCAACCAAGGCTACGCTACGTATATAGATGACCGAAAGTATCGATGGTGAAGTGTGATGTTTCAGGTAGTAACAAATATTGCCACGAAAGAATAAACTGGGGCAAAATTTGTACATACCAAATATATTGTTAAACAATTGGTGGGACGGTTGGGAGAAAAGGAGGCAATACCGAGCGACCGTAGGTCTGAAGGTTGAGTAAACCAGTTGGGGGTCTGGGAAACGTTGTAAGCCTCGGTGCTGGTCAAGGATTGAAGCCCCCGAAATCTTTGCGATTTTGAACCCGTAGAAGAACCCTTTCAGTTTCTAGGGCTTACTCAATGAACCACCGCCGCATTTTTACTAGTAAATTGGTCTAAAAATTGCTTAAATTTTATTTCCCAAGTTTCTGGAAAGCTTTCAAATTTTGGATCCGTTTTGCTATTCATATAGCTGACAGTTGAAGCCTGGGGCAGCTTTCTGTGGAATCAAATATTTATCATTTTATTCCACCATCGACAACTCATGTAAAGAAACAAGCGTGACAAATATAAAGATTTGATTTTCCGACATATAATTAGATCATATAGCAGCCATATAGCCAAGAAAATAGAAAGCGAAATTCAAACATAATTTTTAATTGATATATTAGGTAATGGTTATATCTGTGCTAAGTTAGTATAACTCGGGGCGCCTTGGCATTCAGCTATATAATTGCATACGTATATTTCGACCAAGTATTACACCTCTTTGGTCTGTTTGTATATTTTGAACAGGTGTATAGTTGGTTATGTGGTGGTGTGGTATTAACAAAATATGATCTTAGGATAAGCATGGTGGGTAAACGTGTTTCGCTCAATAAATCAAGCAAAACATATTCCTAGGTACTAGCTGTCGAGATATTCAGATTTTATTAGCGGCGAGTTGACGAGGAACCTTGACTCTCGTCACTGATTTATCATTTTAATCGAGGTTCTAAATTTAAAAATAACATGTACACTAAATAGCTTCAACGATTCTGCTTATCAGATTATTTTCGCAAATTACAGTAAATTAAGATTGATATTTTAACACCCAGGACCGGATTTATAAGAGGGCAACGGGGGCAATTGTCAAAGTGGGCCTTCAGACCAATATGAAATTATAAAATTAGTATTCTTATATTTGTTTCGAACAAATCAATCATTTTTGTTAGTCATGTTATTTAATTTCTATGTTACAGGGTCCCCGTGCCCGAAGTGCCACTGGCCCCAACCGTCTAAATCCGGCCCTGATAATATCAATTTAATTCATCACTGATGGTGTAACTGACAGTAACACTGTACATTTCTTCACTTAACGACCTATCCATAAAAAAATGTATAGTATTTGATTAATTCGTTATAGGGGGTATTTCCTGGATTACCTACTAATTATATCATTAGTCAACCTGTAATCATCATATTCAATTGTTAAAAATTCATATAAGTATTGAAATGTATGCAACCCCTTTAAATTATATCCCTTGTTTATCCCGGTATAACATCGCTTGATATATATATATATATCCAAGAGTAAACATATACAATATAATAATCATCTACAGCTCACTCTTTCCCATATATATATATATATATCAAGCGATGTTATACCGGGATAAACAAGGGATATAATTTAAAGGGGTTGCATACATTTCAATATATATATATATATATATACAAACATCATTTTGGTTTCCAACAAAAACTAACTTAGGATATTCATCATATTCGACTTTTATAATATTGTTGTTTTTGAGAAATGTGGAATAATTGTAAGTGGGAAAGAGTGAGCTGTAGATGATTATTATATTGTATATTTTTACTCTTGGATAATTGTTGTAACCCTTGGTTATTTGTGTAACCGTCAGCAAGTCTGCCCACAATTCTTATAAACTTCCTTCAGGTCAGAGTTTTGGAGATGTTGCTTCAAACTTATTGGGATTGTTTGACAAGTTCGAAGAACCCTTTTAATATCCAGAGCGGC